TGACGTCTTGTCACGTTACAACGTGCACGTGTACGTGTACGCTATATGCGTTTGTATGGATCCGCCGCTACATAAGGGGCGAGCAGAATCTAAACGTCCCGATATCGATAGAGAAATTCAGTGACATCGGCTACACCTGCACAGACAATCACGAGTACAAAAAAAAAACTCCGAATCAAACAATAGTTGAATTATCACTGCCATATAATGAGCCCTATTTATCAGGGGGTTTGGCAGTTCAGGTCGTAATCGTTACTGTTTTTTCCATAACAGATGATGGTCACTATGAAGCCAACATCGACCCCGCACCTCATCATCGTTTTTCCTTCCTTAGTTGCCTGATTGTCTACCCAGTAGTAGTATACAATTAAATACTATTTGTTTAATCTATTTGCTACTTAAACTAATAGTATTACTATTCGCTGAGAATATTTAAATAAATCTAGCATGTTCGAGATAAGATAAGATAAGGAAAGTGTCTGAGCACGCCCACCTTATGTGTGGCGCAGGAAATTAGCAATGGCCAGCTACATAGTTGTGACAAAGTTAAAATACGTAAGGCTAGACTATATTTTGAACTTTCACAGATACTGATTAGCAGACATCCTATAACTTTCTTATAAGCATCGGTAATGCATAATCTGTTTATATACTTGTGTAACATGTCTGTCTTTTGTTTTTTCAATAGAAGCTTTCATTATTTGCACAAAATGCAGCGTATTGCTGCATATAGTGTATGCTATATATAATACCTTCCTTTGTGGCCATAACTTTATGAGCGTCAAACTGGTGCCTTTCGCTAAAATTACCCTATACATTATATGTAAATACTACAATAAGCCTAACCTGTTACTGTTGTTTTCACTTTTCCATGTTCTATGACTTGGGTCAGTACTTCATCGTTTCTAATTGTAATAACGTGAATAATTTCTCAAATGAATTGGCTACCGACATCTTAATTACGTATCACTTGTTACCCTGGCGTCTTATGTACATATAGGGGCCGATTTTCATCAAATAAGGCTAGCCAGACATCTCAGCAAATTTCGGCACCTCACATTGACACGATGTTCTCTGGCAGCATCTGTTATAACTGCTTCAGACATCGAGGATAGTATACTGGAAAATGTCCGATACGATACAGCACGCTACTATAAAATCAGAGGGAACGCTAATTAGACATAACAAACACTTTACTATATTAGTAATAGTAAAAGATAATTGTCTATTAACAAGATTTCTACTTCTGTTCTGTACCACAAACGAAATGGCACAGGTAAGCACTAGGTGGGAACGAGCTAAACAGAGTAAATCATTTTGAGGTTGATATTGGCGCTAAGTGATGAAGCATCACACGGTGCAGTTTCGTAAGCTTCATTTCACAAACATTGACAGTGTACGACAACGAACCGATAAAGATTAATTAGTAGATGTACGAAAATAGACGGCTCTAACTGGCAAAAGGAGGTTTTAAACGCTGATATTGGGCTTATATATAGCGCAGTATCTCATGGAACTTGATTATCCCATGATCTAATCAGAAAGCTTCATTAAGTTGAATGGCATACTTCTCTGCTCTATATTAGCACCCCTGACGCACGTGGGAGAAGTTAAAAGAACTATTCTATAGCCATGCTTTTCTCAAAGGCGTCCAATCGTTTCAGCGTTACAACAAAGAGACTACCGGAAGGTGCCGTACTTCAGATTTCAAAATATACTTGAATATCATTTAAAATATGGAGGAAGCAAATTACCTTTGCTATGTAGCGACATCAAAGGAAAGCGTGCGTCAATTGTGTTAAATATGGCGTTCGGTCGATCGGTTTCGCTGGTTAAACGAATGTTTTTTTCTAGAGATTTTACGGCGTAACAAAAACACGAAAGGACGATTAACATTCTGTAAACTGTATGTTGAAAATAATAAACCAGTCTTCTACTCGACGGCGACATCTGGAGCATTGTCTGCAAAGACGAGTTTCCACCTAACAACTATGGGTTTTGTACATCCTATTACTGCCTTAATTGCATTGAACGCGGTGTATACCTGCATATGCGTCGTCACGGAGGAGATCTATGATAAGCATAATCACGACACATGGGGTCAATATACGTAAGGACCATGGAATGCATATACGAAACACATTTGGGTTTTAAATGGAGATTACGACACCAGGTTTAACGAAAAGGGCATGCTTTTTTATTAACATTCGGGCAACTGCCATCGTAAATATAGGCCGTAATAGGCGCAGAGAAATTCAATAACGCTGCATCGTTGTTTTTAATCCGGCAGCCATTATTATTATGATTATAATTATATATATATTAACAATGATTAGCATGAGGATAGCCAGGTGACTGGATCTGTTGTTGGAGCGTGCCCAGTAGACCTTATTAGCAGACATTTCCGGAAAACGAGTCTTCAAAAGGTGAGACAAAACTTCACCCATTTTTTTGGCGATATGTCAGATGGTTCGCTTGAAGTCAAAGAGGTTCGCTTGAACCTTGCCTCCAGGCCCACAAAGAATGGGCCAAAGGCCAGGGTGTTTTTCACGTGCGTAATACAAGAAACCAAGTGGCGTAGGCAGACCCAACCAAAAGTTCACTGGTGACGTAATAATCACTCGATTTGCCTGTCGTTGTTATGGCAAGTGTCGTGGAGAGTGTACTTAACGGGGTAACGATAATTAATTTTTTGCTAAACGAAATTGTGTAATCACTGAAGTTATAAGTTACGCTGGATAATTCAACTATTTCCTTCAGTTCTAAAACGAGCATGGTTGGCAAGGGCTACGGTGCGTCTAAATAACTACTGAGAGGCCTGAAGCAACCGCTATAAGAAGACAGCACAAGCGTGGCCAGTTTTATCGGGAGTTCCCTAATAAAATCACGCTGATACGTTAATAATTATCTGTACAACTTCACGGCGTGCCAGTGTTCTAGATCTTACCAGGTGCGTCTTATTTATTATGACAGTTTGGAACAAACATAAGTGGTAGATCGTAAGCTAATAATATTGTGCTACCATGGCCGAAGGTGATCCGAATAGTCTGCCATAAGCTCTGAGAGGCCTGAAAGTCTGCCTGCCGAAAATCGATGATGCTGGTTTCACTTGCAAAGCTGCTCTCATTATTAGCGACACAAATGGAACAAACTCGTTCGCTTTTCGACGGGGTTAGTTGAAACTCATACATGGACCGCCCCAACAGTGCATACATACACTGTGGTCGCCCGAACCGTACAAAACAATCGGAAGATCAATCAATAACTTTTTGATACCTGAAAAAGTATATAAAGCGTAATCTAACTTTTAAGGTCTTTTAAGGCAATCTCAAATGCCCCACCAACTATATGTACGAGTGGTTCTCGCGGTTGAAATAGCTTAATCACTATTTGTTTGATATCCTAAAAGATCCTTTCGGAATAGTTACAATATTGGAATGCTGACTCAAAAACTTGTCTAACTTGTCGGGCAGTACTTTTCTAAATGTTGCTCCGAGATATCGCAGGTCTTATATTGATAAGGCTCTGGAGCCAAGAAGACATAATGCCTTCACTAATCCTTCGCTATCAATTTTACTTCCTATCAAATTTAAATATAAACAACTATTATTAAGCAGAATTATTAAATATTATAGCAAACAGGTCTGAACAGTTGCACGCTCCCATTACATACAATGCTATATGGAAAGAATATCTATCCATTTGCTTATGATACATACATTTTGTACGTTATTTGTCTGAATTTAACCGTTGTAATAATTAGTCAACGTCAAATCATCTGCAGAATGGTATGAGACCAATGTGACGCCGGCCAATATATATATATATAAATTACTGGTACATATTTTAAGCTACTATATTGAGGTATGGCAACTATCAATTTAGCATTGCAAGTTCTACCTTAACTCTTCATGCGATGGAAAAACTTTCGAAAACAAGTAGTAATAAAAAAAAAAAAAAGAAACGAACCCCTCATTGAGGCCATTGTGAGAAAAGATTTCTTTCTGTGCGCCCTTTTATACACGATATAAATACTTGCAAATATCATGAGCGCTACAGGATCTACAAGGTATTAGTATTTTACGGATAAGCTATTTTGGTAAACATGTTTAATGTTCAGATTTTTTTTATTAAAATAGAGACCCAATTCAAGAACAATATTTTCCCTTTTAGGCCCAACTTTAGCCTTCTAAATATTACATTTATAGCATGTTATTCCAAGACTTTATCGAACATTCAAACTTATTCTTCTTACTTATTCATATTAGAACTTACTTATTCTTCAAGCCAAAATTTTTAGAAGCTCACCAAAATGTCTATTGCCTTTTTAGGTTAAAACAATATTGAACATTGTTCGCTGGAAATATACGCCTCCGGAAGCGTCAAATATTAAAGAGTACCTAACACACAGGTCACGTACTTACCATTCTCTAGAATATCTTACCATCTTATGCTCAAACGTATCATACTCAATACTACACCGTATGTCATATAATTTTTATTCCTTTTATAACAACTTCTTAGACTTCATACTCCGCAATTCCCTCCCTGTGAAGTACCAATCTACGCCTGGTTCAGCTATAACCCGGTCCAGCCATCGCCTCCGGGGCCGAATCACTCAGTGCTTAATTATCCCTTGATATCTGTATAGGTAGAATTGGGAAACTGGGCAGCTGTATGTACCATAGGCGATAATAAGTCTAAGGGCCAGTTGGAGGAGTGCCCAAGAATATCATTTGCCCTACTGCTTCGTTGTCGATAGCATATTGACGATTAAAGCCATCTAAACTGGACATTGTTTTGGGTTCGTGTGAGGCTGATTCTTCGTAGGCGGCACAGATGAGGCTATTGCTGGCATTATTCATTGTGAGCAGCCGTTACGTTCTTTTTGATTTGATCCGGAGAGTGCAGGATGGTCGCATATATAACTTTATGCTAAATACACAACATAAATTTACTATAAGTTAAAATAGACTATAATTAAATGACTATGCACGTACCTCGTCTTCGTGGAATTCGCCATTTCCCAATACCTGTGAAGCAATAAAATAGCTACTTATTATGAAGGTATCGAACAAATTATGCCACATTTTGGTGTCTATGAAGTTAGTATATTGATTTTGTTTTAAACTGAAATCAATATATATACATATATACTACGGGCGCATTCGGAAGTGAGCCGTATATGCGTAGTGGACAGTTATATCCGATTTTGCGTTCATCTTGATTTAAAATATAGGGGCAGAATGGGCAGCATGTTTCAGTCGTTTGTTATCGTCTCATCTTCACATATTTGCTATAATGTTCAGTCGCAAAACAGTATCTTTTTTAGATATAGAAGGTGCGGACCTATGAACCTACTCGTTGCCAGCAACTGGCTTCTTAACATTCTACTAGCAATTGCTATAATATTACTAGCACTACAGGGAAAAGGCCAATAATCACCCTCCTTATTAAAACATCAATCAGCTACCGCAACAGCAGGGAAAAGCCTTAATTTGATCGAACGAGCGAGTTCGCAGCTATTGCGCAAAGTCCTTACTACTTCCCGATATTGCGGATTAGCTCTAAATCGACCCCTAGGAACGACTGGCTTTTACCATTACAGCTTCATCGCCTATCCAAAGGCAAGGGGAGCTGTGAGTCATCGAGAGGGTGTCACCCAATATCCAAGAGGACCATACAGTACTGGCCGCCAGACGACAGAAAGGGTCATGGCGCCTGTTCGTTGCACAGTGTAGACAAATGAATAGGACATGACGCTTGTGTGGAGTCTCGAGATGATAAAGTTATAACTGTGAATGTCAGTTTTTTTCTGGTAAGCTAGGCGGTTCAACTTTTACACTTTCCGATGGAGAGATCAAATTCCAGGTGGCTACGGTGGCAAGACGACCAACTGGTACCATCGAGAGAGCGTGGTGCACTGCTACATTCCTCCTCTGTCCTGCTAGGTATATAGCAGGATCTCAGCGGGATCATCAGCAAGGTGTTACCACCGTCTCAGCTGGTTTCTAGTGTAACCCAGTGGCTTGGCAGGTTGCTGAGCATAACATCCGAACATAAACTGCCCGTGCAATATCCCAAAAGAGCCTTTTCTTCAATTCCCGAATGCGCAAAGCCTTCGACACCTATATACACATTCGCGGTAGCTAGGGAATCCCTGCCACAGATCAATGCCGCTCCTTTTTGATCGTGCACACCCCTGGGCTGATCGGTAGCGTGCGCACCGCAAGGAAGTAGAAATCTTTCTCCACTTCAGCCAGCCTCAGTGCGCCCTTTAGCTTGGAACCAGCTGAGACCGAGAGCTTGTCAGCTGGTGGTAAGTGAGAGTGTGATCGATGGGATCCTCTTCTTCCTCTATTACGAGCCAGAAGCAAGGTAAGACGACGGCGCCATTTGGCGATTTCGCAACCACTATCATCGAGGCTCGCCACTCTCCTGGCAAGTGTCACTAAATGTGCTAAATTCAGGCCGTTCCACACACTTATCCTCTCTTCACTGGTACTTCATCAATTCTGCGTCACGGCATGCAAAAAAAAAGTCTGCCAGTTTTAAGAAATCAAAAGCAAATCTTAAGCGTATCGCTACCAAGCGATGAAAACTAGGTCGATGAAACAATCGTATTGAATATATCGTGTATGTGGTGTAAATTCATAGAAACTATTTAGATATAAGTTTACTGAACGCAACTACAGGTCGAAGTTGTCCTACGGAAGAGAAATAAGGAAGCGATTGCGATACACCGGAAAACTGACGATACGTACAAATATATTGAATGCAAACTTAGTTCTGGATTACAGTTTTCCTGGCCGCCCCATTGTTTCAGCAGCCAAACCTTTAGCATCGGACATCTTTGTTGTATTGGTTTTTTTTTTTTACAAGCTATAGTACGGTGTTTATAGAGAGCGTATTACAGCTTTACCACGCTAAATATAAATGAGCTAATAAGGTACACTTGAAGCATAGCAGTTTATTGACTTATATAACGAAAGCGATATGGAAATTGTGCAGGATGATCCGTAGATGTACATATCAACAAGATTCGTGAGAGCTATTCGAAATCTTCATCCACTCCGCTTCTCCTCATGGTATCTCCCAGTACGACTGTGCACCTTTAAATTGAATCGCTGGGTAAGAGAGATTTCATTATCTAATTGTATCGGCTTGTTCGATTAACTTGCTTACCTAACCTATATTATTACGTTAGTCTTCAAGGACGGCGCTTTTCACTGCGATATACTTTGTTCATTACACTGAGCGACTGTGTTGGTGCGTTAGGGACTGTTGAGTGTGGGTTGCTTAAACCTAGACAAATAAATTGTTTAAAGTAAAATTGGCCCATGGAACACAATTATTTGGTCTACCGTCACTTAGAACAGGTAGAGAAATATATTTTGAATTGAATAACACCTCTTTCCAGTAAGCACTCTATGCCTCTAATTGTGGGCTATTATAAATGCTATAAGTATTCATTTTTTTGCTTGCCGTGTTCATCTCCGTTTTTGTTCGCCATCTTGATCGGAGATACAGTTCCCTTAACAATTTGAATGGAAACTGTGAGTAATATTTACGTTTACGAATAGTTACAGTAGTAACCGGGCTTCATCGGCTGGCCCCGGGCGATCAGGCGCCGACCCCTTATGACCTAATCATTGCAAATGGACCCACCAGCTGGACAAAACAAAGCCCTCTTTCGTCCTTTACTGCTATACTGGTTCTCTGATCCGATTGGCCATTGCAGTTTTCGGTTATGCGGCAACCGACAACTGCAACATCCACACCGATAACTTTACCTTTTTCCCTTCTAGAGCAACGTTACGCTCCGTACCTTCGCAACCAGGAAGTGTCTACCCGGTTAGAGGGGTAAACCAGGACTTTCAAGTCCTGGATTATGTTGCTCCTTCCCCTTAGGATGCCCCTTTTGCTTAACCCGTCTAGTAGCGGCTATGACTAGCCACCGACCAGTGCGGAAAGCAAATAGTAGTTCTTCTTCGGCGCCGAACGAAAGAAAAATCGAGGGAGAGACATAAAGAGCCAGTGATCAGGAGTGTAACGAAGGCCTTTCTACTGCTACTTCGTTCGCCTGCACTCGGCAGAGTCTACGACCTATTTCCAGCAATACCTACCCCATAGGGCCAGTACCCTATGGGTTCGACCCAGGGGGCCTTACCGACTCGTAAACCAACGTAAGTTAGCCCTTGGTTCGCAGGATTCAACAGATCGGCAGGCCACATTAGCTGAAGAGAAAAGCTTGCATTGGCTTTTTTTCGGATTTTGCTTAACTTCCAGCTACTGGAGTGCCAAGTTCTGTTTATCTTTCACTGTATACGCTGGCGTATGCGCGACTAACGTACCGCTATAACCTCGCGCGTTCTTCTCTCGGGCCGCGTTTCGCTTTCGTTGTTTGTCATGGCACTATGGTAATCGACAACAGCCAGAGAAATGAAAGCATACAAAGCAACGAGTAGACAATATAAGAAGCGACAAGAACTACAACCACAGGTTTTCGATACTGTTTCTATCCTGATCTATTTTGCCATATGGGCGGAGGCTGCGAAAGGAAGAAAACTACTACATATTGACACACAACATAACGAAGGTGATCCGTACAGCCTACGTTCTACTGCAGACGCTGCTGCTATATTAGCCAAGTTTGTCAACAACGAAGGACGACAGGCAGATGGCCCCTGTCAAAATCGGCTAAAATCGGATACTCTATTTTTTTACATACGCACATGCGGGGTTTAAGCGAGTCTTCCGTATTGTTTGTTTTAGTAGCTATTGAGTCCTAGACAGCCGGCAAGGTATAAGAGTCAAAAAATAACAGAACCTAGGTTGTTATTTGTTTACGGACGGTGCGTAACTTGTTTTATAAGCTTACCGACCTTAGATACAATAGCGAATTCTAAAAACCCGTTTTAGCAAAGATTAATGGCCGAACTTTTCATCGTGCTATGACTCCTATACGTACCTGCATGGATGACTAGATGAAGGGAACAGGAATGTTTTTCAGAAATGGCGTTGACGGACATCATCACTGCATTTGGTACTACTAGCACCAGTACGATTTATGTGCCTTAGCATCTCGACGCGGTAGCAGCTGTCATAGGACAATGGCGGAAGGTATTCTGTTTGCAGTATCCGCAGATTAACATCTTTCTACGGGTGGCACTTTATAGCTTCGATAAAAAAAAAACAGACATGGGCAATTCGTGGCGCAGCTGGGGTCTGTCCATCATCGTCAATAAAGTTCACCTTTTTTTGACGAGCACCATAACCAGGAAGTCTATAAGGTTAGGTGATGCCGCTCAAACAAACCACCTTAGTTAAGTTAGTTTCGAGGCTTGACAAGATGTCCGCGCAAAGCATAAATTACCTCCTACTTTATCCGAATCCCGCAGGGGTTGCCTACGGGAGCGCATATATATTTGAAGACGACAGACGTCTTGCTTTCGGTCCACAGACCCCGAAGGGATGTAGCCATGGAATTAATCAGCTGAATAACCGAGTAACTATGATTACCACAGTTGGAACGGGGGGGAAGTGGGGGGGGGGGTATAGAAATAAGATGTATAAAGACTAAACCGAAAATGGATAGCTCCCAAGCGATAGGCGTGAGATGTATGTTGTCTACTATGTTTGGTCATATTATTATGGAGCGTTTAGTAATTCATATACGATTTAGGTATCAACATAATATCAAGTGTATAGTCGTATCTATAAATAATCGATAACGTTTAGAAGGGATTAGCGTCTTAGAAAGATAAGCAGCAAATATACAGGAGAAGAGCAGAATTAACCGTCGGGAAAATACTTTTCGATTTGATACATTGTACTTTAAATCTCTCAACAGGCTACACTTAGCCGCTTATTATACTAGCTTTTGCTAGTGGCGAGGAATGGACAAAATTGATTTGTCGGAACGCGGTACTAGCTCGAAAACAAATATGTGTTTTTGTTATTGACATCTCACCGCAGGTCACGATACACCCGTATGGAAAGAGCGGTGAGAGCTCTCAACCTATAGCAGCGG